AAAGCTTCAGCAGTTCTCTGTCAAAACAACATTTACAAATCGTCAAAGAACACAAAATGACCAAACAGATGAACTTCCTATTGTAAAATTAAATTTAGAAATTCAACAGACTTTGGCAAAATAAATTGAAATGTCTTGAAATGATGTTATCACCAGCAGTCGTATTAAGTGAACATGTACTGTTGCTGTTGTACTAACTTCTGTCAAGCATATGGAGATCGATTACCATGATTGTACTTTAAAAAATGTCAGAATTTCACAAAGACGGTCGTTTAGTAGAATGTTTTCCGGAAACATCCCAGACTACTTAATATTTTGCAAATGGCAGAATGTCTTTCATTGATTGTAAATTAAAACTCTCAATCCTTTGTACTGCTCTGATACCACTGAAGTTAAATGCAAATCTTGGGTTTGTTTTTTTTCCCTGACCTTTTAGATGAAACGTAGGGACGTAAATTAAGACATTGCACAACAATATGAGATCGCATTATCGTTCATTTATTTTTTAGAAGTACTCTTGTAATGGAAGTGAGTGGAAAAAAACATATAAAAAAAAAAGAAAAAAGAAAAAGAAATCAAATTCGCCGTTTGTTGTGACAACCAGTCTAATGGACCTTTGATTAAGGACGCATGACGATTGCATTTTGTGCATTCATTTAAACATTTTCAACGCACAGGATTGTCAACTGTCGTTTTAGAGATTTCCGTTGCTCGCTTAGATGGGAGTATGTCTATTCGATGTAATATTTGGTCACTTGCTGTACATTTCCATTCCATTATTGTAATACTGAGGTGTAAATAGCCCAGGGACGTTGTTTTATGTAAATAGATTTAGACATTATCTAAATGACCTTTAATGTCTATTGTTCCTACCCACAAGTAATCAAAAGATAAGAACGATTCTCGATTTTCATTTCCGACAACGCTCCTAATTTCCTCTTCGGTAATTAAGACTTTCTTAAGAAACTCTGTACTACTCACAGCTATAGACGAAATCAGGTATATATCAGGTGTGATCGTTATCGTAATCCATATATACTTTAATGTCATAAAATCTCATGTGAAAGGAAAACAAAATAAAGATACTTTTTATCACATAATTCCTTAATGTTGAGAACAAAATAAAACGGAGGCAGGTTATTTGTTGCGCAATTTTCAATTCATGACGTATGCGTATATAATGCAAAAATATGTTTCCGGTTTCTGCCTGAAAAAAAATTGGCAAGCGCGCTGTTGATTTTTATTAAGTGTTGAAAGCCGTAATAGAAAATTAAGATACAGTTTTATGCTTCAGTTATACAATGTTTAAATGCGAAGTAGTATCAGTGACTAAATGAAGGATATGATGTTCATAAGTCAATAATAGATACAATCTTTGTTGCTGGCTTCAAACTGTGTTTCGACACCACAAAATCTATGAAATTTAATTAGGAAATGAGTACACAGCCCTCCCGTAGTGAGCCATATAGAATAGGTATGGTACTTATATATAAGTATATATATAACACAGCTTATGAATAAGTAGATAAAATCTCTATTGCTGATCGTGTTTCGACGCTATATTGCATTTATTTATTTAATAGGGATCATGTACTGAATGTACATTACATTATGTTACAGATCAACATAGTAACTTTTTATTCAGGGGTATCACAGCAGCATTATTGACATCCTGAAATCGATACAGATAACAATACATGTAAGAGATCAATGCCAATATAATTAATAGTCCAATACGGACAATGATGACATCGATCATATTTACTATTGTATAGCATTACTATGGTGCAACCTTACCAAGGTTGTGTATTACCAGTCTGTGAACTGCTCCTGATGAATAAAATATTGCACGTGAATATAAACAAGTAGCTTACCCTCCTAATGATGAGAATTTAAGATAATACACATAAACATTGAAATGCTTTCAGCTGGCATTCACAGACATATGAATGCCAACTGAAATCAGTTTAACTTTTAATACATTTGAATACAAAAATATTCATTGAGCACAGAGAAATAGGGCACAAAATCAATCGATGTAACATTTTTTAGACGCAGATAAATAATTTAATGAAAAAATTTTGCTGAAATATCAAGAATAAAATTAATGCAGATAAAATAGTATGGGTGCAATAATGATGGGGGAAACTCATGGTAAAATATTGCCCTATAATTGTACTTCCGTAATCCGCTGTTCTACAACTGTACCATGACGAAAATCATAGCTGACTTGTATTTCTGGTAAAATATCTCTGCAATCATGATGAAATTCTTGTTTTTAAATTCTCATTTTATACATTCTTCCGGTAAAATGTCGCTCTGCAATTTGACGAAATTTTGAATTTCTCCCATTCCATCATACATCTCCCCAGATAACAATATTAGATCTACTTATACGGAAAATGGTTGTAATTTGTCTTGGCCTTGCTATACCCTCCTAATTACAAGCCCAGAAGGACACGCCATTACCTCGTTAAACAGTTTAAGGTGTCTGAAGCTCCATTCGACAATTTAATCTGGTCAACCTCAAGAGAATGCAGATGATTTTGCAATTGCCCTCAATATAATTCTCGATAACATGGACGTGCGGGAAATAATTTTTCAACAATTTCGAAGATGTTTATAGATTTCAAATTTGAAATTATACACACTAATACAATTATCTCTCGCCAGACCAGCATAAATTGTCGATAATATGAGCAATCTAGATGGGTTATCGATACACGTTTTTCGCCTCAGTGCATATAACGAATAATCCGATTTGTCTCTTCCAAATATAAACTTTTCTGTTTACGTATTGACTAATTGGAAAATGCCATTTATTCTTAATATAGCTATAAGTGGACATAGTTTTGTTGTATTAATCATCTAGAAAACATATACGGACTCCTAAAAAAGGAAATTTTGAAAAGCTCTTGAAACGTTTTGTTTCTTAAACACAATTCTGCTCTGACACGAAATCCAATTTTTTACCTGTATAATTATTCCGGTCTAAAACAGCGGCAGGAAATCAGCCTCAAACATTAGGTATTCTTGGGGCTGGCTATGAAATACTGTCAATCACGTTATACTGTTCACTAATGGATTTTGTCTTCAGAAATGGCAATAATGTATATTTTGTAATATACGACATCTCGTCCATTACCAGTCTTCTCAGGGAATCGACAAAGGAAACCATCGTCTGTCAACAGTAGTATGGAGATATATAGCTTCTGTTCTATGTGATTATCCATCACCATATTTACGATCAACCAGAGGAATGGATGAAAAGACACAGAAGAATGACTTACGGAAATAGTTTATTGCCAAATAAATTCAGTTTGATATTATAACAATTGTTATTCTGAAGTCTTTTTTCCCTTTCTTTTTATACTCTGTTTGAGGCTAGAAGAATGTCACAAAATCTGACTGCGGTAAATAAAACATTTTGCAAAGCTGTACAAATCTGCACAAAGAAAATTTCTGTTTTTTATCGTAACTAAAAAATTAACATGTTGTTATGTTTGACAAATCACAAGAGCTATATACATATTTTTATAGCATAAGTTTGACCAGATATGATTAAGGTAGTGTATTGATGTCGTGGATACAATGAACAATGTGTTCCTGGGTAGATACAAAGAACAATGTATATCCTGATAGATTCAATGGTTCTAAACTCGGTAAAAGCAAGTGCGCTTCAACAATAGGAAAAGGATATTGATATAGGGGCATATGTATCGATAGTCGTAGGAGTATGGACCATATGACATCAGCTATGGAAAGTGGGAGACACTAGGATAATACGACAACAGCTATGGAAACTGGGAGAAGCTATAATGATATGACATCAGCTATGGAATTTGGGAGAAGCTAGGATGATATGGCATCAGTTATGGAAAGTGGGAAACACTAAGATGATATGACATCAGCTGTGGAAACTGGGAGAAGCTTTATTGATATGACATTAGCTATGGAATTTGGGAGGAGCTAGGATGATATGGCATCAGTTATGGAAAGTGGGAGACACTAGGATGATATGACATCAGCTGTGGAAACTGGGAGAAGCTATAATGATATGACATTAGCTATGGAATTTGGGAGGAGCTAGGATGATATGCCATCAGTTATGGAAAGTGGGAGACACTAGGATGATATGACATCAGCTATGGAATTTGGGAGAAGCTAGGATGATATGGCATCAGCTATGCTATTTGGGAGAAGCTAGGATAATATGACATCAGCTATGCTATTTGGGAGAAGCTAGGATGATATGACATCAGCAGTGGAAACTGGGAGAAGCTATATTGATATGACATCAGCTATGGAATTTGGGAGAAGCTAGGATGATATGGCATCAGCTGTGGAATTTGGGAGAAGCTAGGATGATATGGCATCAGCTATGCTATTTGGGAGAAGCTGGGATGATATGGCATCAGCTATGGAAACTGGGAGAAGCAAGGATGATATGACATCAGCTGTGGAATTTGGGAGAAGCTATAATGATATGACATTAGCTATGGAATTTGGGAGAAGCTAGGATGATATGGCAACAGCTGTGGAAACTGGGAGAAGCAAGGATGATATGACATCAGCTGTAGAATTTGGGAGAAGCTATAATGATATGACATTAGCTATGGAATTTGGGAGAAGCTAGGATGATATGACAACAGCTATGGAAACTTGGAGAAGCTGGGATGATACGACATCAGCTGTGGAAAGTGGCAGAAGCTAGAATGATATGGCATCAGCTGTGGAATTTGGGAGAAGCTATAATGATATGACATCAGCTATGGAATTGGGGAGAAGCTAGGATGATATGACAACAGCTGTGGAAACTGGGACATGCTATATTGATATGACACTAGCTATGGAATTTGGGAGAAGCTTGGATGATATGGCATCAGCTATGAAATCTGGGAGAAGCTAGGATGATACAACATCAGCTGTGGAAACCGGGAGAAGCTAGGACGATACATTATGTTTGGAAATTTGGGGAAACAAGGATGATGTAACATCAGCTATGGACGTTTGGGGAAACAAGGATGATGTGACATCAGCTATGGACGTTTGGGGAAACAAGGATGATGTGACATCAGCTATGGACGTTTGGGGAAACAAGGATGATGTGACATCAGCTATGGACGTTTGGGGAAACTAGGATGATGTGACATCAGCTATGGACGTTTGGGGAAACTAGGATGATGTGACATCAGCTATGGAAGTTAGAGGAAACAAGGATGATGTGACATCAGCTATGACCGTTTGGGGAAACTAGGATGATGTGACATCAGCTATGGACGTTTTGGGAAACTAGGATGATTTGACATTAGCTATGGACGTTACAGGAAACTAGGAAAGTATGACATCAGCTATGGAAACTGGGAGAATGTAGGATGATACATTATGTATGGCATCAGTAATGAATGTTTGATACTAATTATGATTTGTGTAACCTCCATCACTCCCCCACGCCTAGAACCAATAATAAAGGATTAAAAGTGTCGATTTTAAAACATCACTTCTATCCATTAGATAGATATACGACACATGGACTGGGTCTTTATACTGACATATTAGTAAGTTAGTGTCCTCAAATATGTGTTAACGTGCTTTAGTGACATTGATTTTGATTTAACACATGTATGATTCGGTTTTTTGGTGAAGGACATTTATTTTTCCCTAAAATAACTAAAAGCGGATTTAGGAAATTGCACTTTTTCAAAACATCGCAGGATCAAGATAAAAGCCTCAAGCAAATATCCTTCTATTTATTGTGAAATATACTGAAACAGCAAGAGGAATACCGACATGTTAACATAATCTTGATTCAAATTTCATTTCGATGAAACTGGGGCGAAGCATGAACAAAAGAAACAAAGACAGACTGAGTATTGCTGAGGCGTAAACGTCGTCTGCTTTAAGGACGACACCGTGTGTTTCTGAAGAGTTAGCGTCGTCTGCTTTAAGGACGACACCGTGTGTTTCTGAAGAGTTAGCGTCGTCTGCTTTAAGGACGACACCGTGTGTTTCTGAAGAGTTAGCGTCGTCTGCTTTAAGGACGACATCGTGTGTTTCTGAAGAGTTAGCGTCGTCTGCTTTAAGGACGACACCGTGTGTTTCTGAAGAGTTAGCGTCGTCTGCTTTAAGGACGACACCGTGTGTTTCTGAAGAGTTAGCGTCGTCTGCTTTAAGGACGACACCGTGTGTTTCTGAAGAGTTAGCGTCGTCTGCTTTAAGGACGACACCGTGTGTTTCTGAAGAGTTAGCGTCGTCTGCTTTAAGGACGACATCGTGTGTTTCTGAAGAGTTAGCGTCGTCTGCTTTAAGGACGACACCGTGTGTTTCTGAAGAGTTAGCGTCGTCTGCTTTAAGGACGACACCGTGTGTTTCTGAAGAGTTAGCGTCGTCTGCTTTAAGGACGACACCGTGTGTTTCTGAAGAGTTAGCGTCGTCTGCTTTAAGGACGACATCGTGTGTTTCTGAAGAGTTAGCGTCGTCTGCTTTAAGGACGACAATATTTGTTTTTGCAGAGTATGCGTCGTCTGCTTCAAAGACAACGCATTTTGTTCCTGTAGAATAAGCGTCGTTTGCTTCAAAGAGGAAACCTGCCATGTTCCCAGATGAGAACAAGGTAAATAAATACAGAAACACTAATGAGCAATGAGCATAAAACATGTACAAGGGAATAGAAAATTTAACAGAGAGATCAATAAAGAGACCGTTAAATTTCCCCCATAATCTTCATCAGTCTGCATCTCATTCCTGTGTCGTGAGCAGTTGCCGACATCTTGCATCGAAATCTTGATATCGGGAACAAGCCAGCTGAAATTGTTTTTATTGAGATCCAGTGTCTGATACAAAAGCAGGTTTAATTTCCCTTTGTATAGATAGAAGTAACATAACACACGAACGATAAACCATCTCAAATCCGTAGGTCTAATGTGCAAACACGTTTGTAAAATTATGTTATATGGGGAATACCTTGCTGTCTGTTGATAACTAACGCCTGTAACACAACAATGAAAACAAACATTTCAAAGGATCAGAATGACACTGTGGCTGCTTAGAATAGACAGAAGTGTAATGGAGGTTTTATTCTCGATGTGTGTGCCTACGGAAAGCACCATTACATGCTATTGTTGCTTCTTAAGAACTGAAGAGGTAGGCTTAACATCTGCTGTAAAGCTGATATCTTAGTGTCTGCAAATCCCCGATGTACACCAACTTTACCAATTACTTCGCCATCAATATAACATTTATAGTATCGATTTTCTGTCCTTGAAGGAATATGGTATTAACACATGAGAAATTGATATTTGTCGTTGATATTGCATCTGTCGTTTTGTGTTATTTTTCATCGAAATTGGATGAATCATGGTATATACCATCGGATATACTTTGATTACAAGCGTCTGAGTGAATCTCTGCCCGCATCATTACTGCAGGTTAACTTACATCTTCGAAAGCGAGGTCACATCTCTGTTATCAGCTTTATCGCTCAGAGGATACGATGATGACGTTGATTAGTTGCCGCTCGTGGTAATCTAAAATTAGATTTTAATTATACAGGCAAAACATGCCCTAGACATCTTTACGTTACATCACAATAAATTTCTTCTCTAATTAGAATACGTAGTTGCCCCTAATCCAATTAGTGTTGATAAGCAATCAGATGCAAGTTAACATGACAAGTTCGATGTCATAGGAGGCCTGTTTAAATTTTCTCTACCCCAATTTACTTTTTAACATTTTAATCGAAACCAAAATATTTATTTTTATCTATATTGACCAGACATTTTGCATGTTACGTAAACATTTACGCTGGTAATCAACCGTTCGTTCTGCAAAACAAGCAACAATTGCAGTATGCTTCCTAAGGCAAAAACATATTTTCTAAATCTTCAGATGTAAAGGTTGTCGTTTTCAATGTTTTCGGTTTTCACTATGTTCGAGATAAAAATAAAATCGCAAATATCTTAAAATCTTAAAAATTTTGAGAGAAAAATAAAGTCTAATTCAAATTTTCCTTTTGATTTTAACATTTGGTTAAACAGCAATAAATAAATATATAAATAAAAAAAAATCCGCGAAAATTCAAATGCTTACAGTAAGATACAAAATAAAATTTAGAATGCGATGCAAGCAAGTATTTTTTTTTTTTTTTTTTTAGCTGATACAATTTCTTTGTTGGATGTTTCAGAACATTTCAGGCACGTGTGTTATCCTTTATTCAAATAGATGCGTCCCTATGGCAAGACAATGTTTAAGGCTGCTTAGCAGCATGCAGGTAGAGCCGTTGGTAATGTCCTTGTCTGTTTGGCGAGTCTAATTTGGCTAGCAATCTGGTTGTCGCCAGACATCACTTTGCCATAAACACTCCTAATCCGGCGTGACATATACATCTGCATTGGGATAGCACGAAACATTATTTGTATGTATGGTTTTGTGCTCGGCAATCTCAGATAAATTGGGGTGAACGCCGCTGGTATTTCTAGTTGTTTGCTAAACATATTGGTTAAAATCAACTTGTGTACGACAGCTGTCTACGTTTGGCACTGTGCAATATGTAAGAGATTAGCATCTAACTGGTGTTCACACGGGAAATACATCTTATATTTTGTTGTAACGTGTAAGTATGTTTACAAACAACAAAATACAAACGTAATCATAATCCAAACTCTAATTCAATAAAAAAAATAGTGCAAAATATGAATAAAAGAAGGATTTAGAACTCCCGAAATATGAAAATATCTGTGATAAGAAATAAATACGGTATATTCTGTTTAAAACCAATCAGATAACTTGTTTTCGGTAAAGTCTTTTTTTTCCTTTTTTCTGCTAATTTTTTATTTTATTATTTTTGTTTGTTTTGGTTTTTTAAAATTATTATCTTGTTTATAGTATTTCATTATGCCATGACTCTTCTGAATTGTAAATTAAAGACAAAAAAACAAAAATATCTACAACTCCCACACAAAAAAGCTTCCGAATTCCCTTTTGTTATGTCAGCACTTAAATATATATATCTGGTCCCTTATAGATGGGGAGTTGCAAACGCACCTGCTGTCCAAGTAACTTGATCATAAGAGGAGACTTAGCTTCTCATTAACTCTTTTATTCATAACTCCTCGATGCCATCTGATTTTTGGATTTTGTCCAAGTAAGAACGATTATCAGTTATGTCCATAAACCGAGTGGATAAGAAATAACCCGAATCCCTGCTGTATCTTACAGGTGTCTGTGTGTGTGACTATCTTCCTGTCTGTCGGACACATTTGCATTCTGTTAAGTGGATGGTTATGAGATCATTCCATAATCTTCATCTATGTGTGTTTAGCTTGATTGTCGATAGCTGACCACCACAATACACAGTAATGATTTACTTGAAACATCGATTTAAAAAATGTCTTTCACATTAAATCTTTAAAGCTGGACTCAACAGAGAACTCTTGAGAGAAAAAAAAGAACAAAAATATTCAGAGCGGAGAAATGGAAAAGAGAGAAGAGAAGGGAGATGAAAGAGATGCAAAAGGAAAAAAAGAAAAAAAGATGATTCCTGTCATCTACGGAACGTTCATCTTTGACGAGTTGGCGGTTACATCTGACTTGGTGGTGTATTATGCTGCTGTGTCCGGATAACATTTCAGAATGATAACACTATATTATCAGTGGGCCCACCATCCGTGAGCATGTCTTCAGATGATCTAAGCTGATGCAAAAAGGAAACCAACGGGAAGGCAAAGATGTAAATGTCCCTATAAGTGTGAATTTTCCATTTCCAGATAGCGATATAACGCGTTCTACATTGTGAAACCTATTCAATAATCCAATGATTGCTCATAATATCACGATATCACAAATGTCAGATAAACTGGCAAGTCATTGTTTTGAGAGATTTGAGAGTAAGTTTATATTATGGAATGTCGTTAGATAAGTTCGTTGATGTGAAGGATGGAGGATATTCATAATCCAGGCTTTTGTATTATAGGCACGTACACGAACTAGTGAATTGTTACAAAATCTACATGACTGATGAATACTTGATGGTTTTGCGAGTCCTTTTAATCCTTAAACTCGAGTGCCTCCAAAATAATGTTTTTGAATAACCATGAAATTTGAAACCCACGAAAATAAAAGACTTAACAGTAAGTACATTTT